TGCAGCTGCTGTTAATGGTCGCTTCGAAGGTTAGGTCAAATTATACTAAACTTTAAGTTGTTGAGTAATGAACTATAAATTGTTTCATTTCAGTTACTTGCAAATTTGTGTTTTGAGCTTAATTTCAGTTACTTGCAAATTTGTGTTTTGAGCTTGAATCATAATCAATATGTAGGTTAAATTACCTTTAATAGCCGCATAATATGGTTAAATTGTTGTTATATAGTGTTTTTGATTGTCTGGTGAAATGAGTGTTATATAGTGTTTCGACCGCTTGATTTGTGTATGAAATTAACTGTAGGCTTAAATATACTTTTTTTTTTAATTTCGCTTCTAATTTCTAATATAGCCTTAACGTTTGAACATGTGACAGTAGCACGTTAGTAATTCTCTTACATTTTGTTCAGGGTACTCACAGGTTTAAAGAGAGAATTATTGGGGTGTTACAAAGTGGTATCATAGCCTAAACGTTCCTGGAGTTTACACAGGGATCCTCATATCCCTGCGAGCCTTGGTTTAGGAATGAACCTATTAATTAAGAGTAGGATTAAAATTAACATAGGCTAAACTATTTCAAGAGTGTTTCTCTCTGTATGCTTGTGCTTGTTATGTGTTTTTTATGTCACTAACTTTGAGTTCGGGGACAAACTCTATTTTAAGGGGGATAGTATGTAATACCCCTAATATCTCTTTACTCTATTTATATATATTTTATAAATAAAAGATTGGTTTAGTGTTACTTTCTCTCAAATTTACATGTAAGTTATTTTTCTATTTTAAGTATCGAAGACGAAACTTGTTTTAAGGAGGGTAGATTGTAATACCCATTTATTTTATTATTTATTAAAATATTATTTTATGAGTTTCGTATATTTAAACCTATTTTATTGATAGTATAACTCTTTTATTTTAATCATGTGTATATTTATATATTCATTAATGTAATCCCCCGTATTTTTAAATAATTTATAAATGAAATTTATTTTATTTATAATATTTATTTATATTTTTTTGGAATTTAATTTCAAAAGTTTCAAACTTATTAATTTGGGTCGAAAATTATTTTGTTACAAATTATTTTATGCACTTTCATTCTACAATTTATGTCCAAACAAACAAAGCCTAGTCAATTGTTATTCACTTAATTGGCCCATTAATTTCATAAGGCCCAATCTTCCTACTAGTTCTACAACTCTCTCTCCTATAAATACCCCATACATCCCAAAAATTTTCCTCACACAAAAGTTTAGTCTTTATTTCTTTTCCTCTTATTTTCTCTTATTTTTCCTTTTTTCTTTTTCTTTTCTTTTTCCCTTTTCCTTTATTTTTTTTCTTTTTCCTCTTATTCCTCCTTGCGTGGGACTTCTCACGTTGCTTCTGGTGCTGCTACTGTTCACCACCAGGTGTTGCCGATCGCCAGCACGCCACCACCTGATCTCGGCGCCGCTGCCACCCTGCCGGCAGCCGCCTTTTTTGTCCTCCCTCTGTTGTCTTAATTTGCTTAATATGTATAAAATTATTTTGGATTTGATTTTAATTGTTTGAAATAAGTTTTATTATTATGAAAATTTATATTTTTGTTGTTTAAATTTATAATTTCAGATTATATACATTTTATAAATTTTCAGATTTTGTGATTTTAAAACCTAGGGTTTTAATTTATTTAATTTGGGATTTTAGGGTTCTAATGAGTAATTAATTTGGGGCTTTTGTTCCTACTGAATTTCTACTGATTAATTAAGCATAAAAACATGTTTTTGAGGAAGTTATAATGACTTTTAGATCAGTTATATTGCTGTAAATTTGGTTGTTTGGGTATTGTAGGGAATATTTCAAGCGTTAAGCCCCTAGCTTGAACCCCACTGTGATCATACACTAAAGTATGGTGGCGTCCAAAAGGGAAGAAGATAGAGCAAAAGAGTCGCCAACAAGTTTTTTTTAGGAACTTGTAAACCGTTCACGAGGTTGAAGGTTACGCCTCTTAACGATCCAAGGGATCGTCTACTCCATAAGGTCTTGAACCAAATAGGGTTCGGGGATGAAGGTACAAATCCAACCTAAAAGAGATTGAACCTGCCCTAATAATAGGCCTCTACTTTATTCTGATCGTATTCATGTGCGCTTTTTGACTAACATGCAATCAATAGGTTTAACCCTAGACCTGATTATCTATGTTGGTTGAATTTTAATGCACAAATAAATCTATTATTGGCGATCACTTGAATTATAATCATATTAACCCTAACAAGATTATTAATTATCTTATTAAGCGTGATTGCAAGTACAAATTCCCTTTAAACATGCATAAAAGGCGTGATCAAGCAATAAAAATATATATCAAGCAACATAATAATAATAATCAATAATTATAATAATAACCATAATCATCAATCATAAAAATAATCATAAATCATGTTAAAGCATAATAAAAATAGCAAGATTCTAGGCATGATACTAACAAGATTAATAACAAACCCTAGCATGTCACTAAGCAATAAAAATCATATATTTAGCCCTAACATGATACTAACAAATATAAATATTGGGAAAAACATAAAAGGCATCATACTTTTAATCATAATTGATATTAAAGTTACCTTAGACATGATACTAGGAATCATAATAACAATCTAAGCATGAACTCTATATCATAGCATCAATAAAAACCATTAAAGTACTTACTTGGATGCCTCGTACCTCTTTCTAATAACAAAATACACGTGTTAGTAACTTCAAGGAAAATAATAAAATCAAAACAATTAAATTAAATAATTGAAATAGAGATTTGGGACCAAACCCTCAGAAATTAAACCTTTCACGTCTAGGGCGAAGGCAACTTCGAATATGGCTAGGTGTATATAAATCTAATGAATGCGGAATTTTTATATTTGAGAGAAGCTAGTTTAGAAAAGAGAGAAAGAGTAATCAAGAGAATCTTGATGAGAGTTGGTGAATGAAAACGGAGTTTTTAGTACGTTATTTATAGAGAAAATCAGCCAAAAAGATAAAATATCAAAACAGAGTTCTGACGCACATAAAACTGAATTAGTGCCAACGCTGGCTATTGGCGCCAGGCGCCAACATTAGTGTCAGGCGCCAAGCGTAGCGCCAGGCGCTACAGCTGGCGTTTGGCGCTGATTTGGAAATTCATGCGTTTTCTTAAAATCAGATAAAATTTGCCGTACAGGAAGATAAAATCGTATTTTTCCTCAAAAAATGCTCTTTGATTTTAATTAAAACTCTGAAAAGTCAACAAAAGTCAATTTATCAATGCTAATTGAATTAGGAATGAAAAGAACCTTCTAGAAAAATCTAGAAGACTAAACCATTCCTAATTTCATTAGGAATGATAAATCTATATTAGGCCCTCCTCTAGATCATTGGGCCGCATATAAGGCTCAAACCGGGCCCAGTTTAGTAAATTGGCCATAACTTCCTCAATATTCATCGGAATTGGGCTTATAATATATCGTTGGAAAGCTCTTGTCAAGCCCCATACAACTACATTACTATTGGACCCATATCATGGACCAACCAAACTGGATTGGCTATTTTCTTAAAAATAAGTTTTCAAAACCAGAGAGAAGAGAAAAGAAATTAAAACTATCCGCAACACTAGACTTTCCACACTTTCACTTCATTCGATTATGATTCAACGCGAAAGGTACTCATCACTGGGTTTGGTTTTGGGGAGACACAAATGGGTGTCTACAGGTATTGATTATTGTTTTGTTGTTTGGTTTAGGAGAGGACCTCATAGAAGGTGTTTTTAGTTGGAAAAGCGGTTTACCAATTTGTTTATTCAAGGTACGTACGAGTCACGAAACTTTGCTTTTAGATGCATGTTTAGGGATGTAGTGAGAACATAGTATCATGTATAGAGAAGACTGGGCTTAATTGTTTGGTTATACATTGTGATTTCTGTATATTGTGTATGAAGCATGTTTGAGATATAAGTATATGACTACGGTTGTGGGTGATGTATAAGTGATTATCTTATCAATTGGATATGTTATGATTAATTGAAGGTTATGGATTCTTGGTTGTCTATAAGTGGAATGAATTTTGATAATTGTTCCACGAGGTTAATTTTAAATACTCTTTCTTGAATTAATTATGATTTGAGTAGAGGGAATTTATTAAAGTCTTTTAAGACGAGGTTCGGGATTTGAAGTGCCCTATGAACTTAAGGTGTTTATACACCGAGGTAGTTAAAGGATTCAATACTAAATATTGTTTGCCACTAAGAAATAAAGATTGGATTCAATTAAAAATTTGGATTGCTTGGAATGATGTGATATTTGATTGATTGTATTGTTTTGTATACGAGTCATAACCAGTCTAAACTTGTAAATCACGTAAAGTAGGGGTGGCAATTCAGGTCAGTGGGTCAGGTTCGGGTCAGATTTCGGGTCGATTTTGGGTTATACTTAAAAACAATCAAAAATAGTGTTAAACTAAATATTATTACGAAATATGAAATTTTGGTCAAATCGGGTCGAATTCGGGTTATTCGGGTTCGGGTCGGGACGTGTTCGGGTTTCTCTTAGTAACTTCAGGTCGGGTTCGTTCGGGTTATCGGGTCGGGTCAGGGATTGCCAGCCCTAACGTAAAGTGCAAGATGGATGAGCAATAAAACTCTGGATTGGTGCACATCTAGAGTAATGACAATCAGGTGTTGGGGTACACGGGGTATTATCCGTGCACTTTTTTAGAGGTCGTCTTATGTACGAGTCTCTTATTTCAAATACTCTTCAAAAACTAGGAGTTAGATGAGATTTCATACTAGCTATGGTCACGGAGTCGTGCCCGTGGTCGTTGGATGTTTTATTGATGTTTGCAAAAGGAGGCATGGGGTTTTTTCTTTTATTGATGTTCCAAATAGAGCATGGGATGGAAAACCTTGTCTATTGATTAAACTGAAGACTAAAATGAAATGATATAACTATTATTAACTAATGAAGTCTTAGTGAAGTTGTCAAACGAGTCGTGTGTTGAATCTATAATTTAATTGTGTGCGATGATTGAATGTTAGTAGCCTTAATAGTATTTGGGGCCGAAGGCGAAACCCATTGACGAGAATTAAACAACAACCCCAATTCAGCTAGAACCGAATCAAACCCATAAGCAGAAACCACCAAACAACCCTTATCAAATGCCTGATCATGATATTGAACCTCCATTTTTTTCATAAACTCAAGCTCCCCACAAATTTCCAAGTAATCGGTGCGAGTCTCGAGGCAAGCTCGAACCACTAGATCGCCATGAAGGCGGAAGGGTCCTACACAATTGAGGATGAGTTTAGTTAAGGAAGAAATGTGAAGGAGCGAATCAAAGTTTAAAGTATCTGCAGTGAGGATTGTGATGTTGGGAGGTGGGTTTGGGTGGGATTCCCATGAAAGAGATTGAGCGAGTTTTGTGGGGTTTCGACCTGCGATTGCGAGGGATTTGAGAGGAGAAGAAGGTGAAGAAGAGTTGAGGAATTTGAGGGATTCTTTGAGGACGTATTTGCTTGTAAAACCTGATGCGCCGAGGATGATGATGTTGTATGGCGGTGGTGGGGTTGAGAGGTGGGTTTCTTCCGCCATTGTTGAAGAATTGTCAAGGAAAAAGATGAAGGAATTGTTTTTGTGATTAGTTATTTTTGTAATTGGTTTTTGTGCACGCGTGCGCGCGCACCTTTATGTTGATCCAAATTAGGATTTAGTAAAGTACTAAATAAATATATTTGAATTAGTTATTATTATTTTGTGATTGAATTCAACACCATTTTTTAATCTAAATTAGGGAGCTATTAGTGAATATAAATCTGTTTGGTAAAGTTTTTGTTATTTTGTTCATGAATTCGTAGTTGTATGGAGTATAATTATTGAAATGAGTGTGTAAGATATAATTACTTCATATCAAAATATATTAATGGTAGCAATTGTTTATATCACAAACAATTATAAGCATTGACACTTATGTTGATATGGAGTATAGAAAATTATAAAGGTTAATATCATTGCTTGGATTGGATCACATGTTTGAGCTTTGTCTTGCTTTGTGTTAATTATTTCTCTGTCAGGGGTTACTTGAGTTGCTGCGGTTACTCAAGTTACTCGGTCAAGAATTACTTGAGTTACTTTTTATCGAGTAACTTCTCAAGTAACCTCTGGCCGAGTAACCCCTCGAGTAATCCATGACTGAACCCCTCAAGTAAACCCTCCCCTTCAAGTAACCCCTAATTGAATAACCCCTTACCGAACCCTCAAACAACCCCCGACCAAACTCCTTAAATAACCCCTAACCGAGTTACTCGAGTAACCACTGACCGAGTAGCTCGAGTAACTCATGACTTAGTAACCCTTGGTTGATTAACCCCTAACCGAGTAACCCCTCAAATAACCCTTGACCAAGTGAACCCCTCGAATGACCCCTGTCGGAACCCCTCATGTAAACCCCGATCGAGTAACCCCTCAAGTAACCCTTGACCGACTGAACTCCTCGAGTAACCCTTGTCCCAAACCCTCAAGTAACCTTTGATCGAGTAACTCAAGTAACCCCTAACTGAATAACTTGGGTAACCCATAACAAAATAACTCAAGTAACCCTTGCCACAGTCTGTTTCATAATAATTTCAACACTACTTTCTTTGGTAAGAGTCCACAACTATTTTATTATTTCTATCAAACCAACCCCATTACACCTTTTTTTTTTTTAATAATTATTTCTTATTCCTACGAACAAATAAATATATCCCACTAACTATACTTTATATTATAAAATCACAAATTTTTGTAAGTAGCCTGTTGTACCGAGCAACAAGGGTCACTCGAGTTGCTCAGTATGGGATTACTCCAAGTTGTCAGGATTACTCGAGTTTCTCGGTTAGGGGTTACTTATGATGATGGGGTTACTCAACCCCTGATCGAGTAAACTCTCAAGTAACTCTTGACCAAGTGAACCGCTCGAGTAACCCCTATCCGAACCCCTCAAGTAACAGCTGATCGAGTAACCCCTCAAGTAACCCTTGACCGAGTAAACCCTTTGAATAAACCTTGTCCCAACCCCTCAAGTAACCCTAACCGAGTAACTTGAGTAACCCCTGACTGAATAACTTGGGTCACCCTAACAAAATAACTCAGGTAACCTTTGCCACAGTCCATTTCATAATAATTACCATACTACTTTCTTTGGTAAGAGTCCACAACTGTTTTATATTTCTCTCTAGCCAGCCCCATTTACACCTTTTTTTTTTTTTATTATGTCTCTCTCCTACGAACAAATAAATATATCCCACTAACTATACTTTACATTATAAAATCACAAATTTTGGTATGTTGTCGTTGTACCGTGTAGCAAGGGTTACTCGAGTTTCTTGGTATGGGATTACTCGAGTTTCTTGGTGTGGGATTACTCGAGTTTCTTGTTAAGGGGTTACTCAAGTTTCTAGGGTTACTTAAATTATTTGGTCAGGGGTTACTTGAGTTACTCCTTATCGAGTAACCCCTTGATTGACTGAACCCCTCGAGTAACCCTTACCCTCTAGTAACATCTGACTGAGTAACTCGAATAACCCCTGACCGAGTAGCGTGAGTAACCCATTACCGAATAACCCCTCGAGTAACCCTTGACTAAGTAACTCGAGTAACCGCTGCCCGAGTAACCTCTCAAGTAACCCTTGACCAAGTGAACCCCTTGAGTAACCTGTCCGAACCCCTCAAGTAACCCTTGTCCCAACCCCTCAAGTAACCCCTGCCTTAGTAACTCGATTAACCCCTGACTGAATAATCCGGGTAACCCGTAACAAAATAACTCAGGTAACCCTGCCACAATCCGATTCATAATAATTGCAACACTACTTTCTTTGGTAAGATTCCATAACTATTTTATTATCTCTCTCCGACCAACCCCATTTACACTATTTTTTTATTATTTTTCTCTCCTATGAACAAATAAATATATCCAATTAACTATACTTTATAATATTGCACAAGGAAGACAAAGATAAGAAATTTTTTCCTAATTAACAGAAATGTAGCCTCTAAATGAAGATTAAACACGACTAACAAAAAGAATTTATCAACACAACTATGAGATTATAAGGATTAGAGATGCAAGCACAATCTCATGTTGAGGTGATCGAAAAGATGACAAAATGTGTTTGATTATCAAATCAAATAATCCTACAATTGTCTAAGTTATATGTTATTACTATGTACATTGTCTAAACTATGTACATTGTCTTAGTATCGGCCCACACGATCGTTTTGTGTTTCGATTGTTCTTGTACGTTGAGAAATCGTTAAGTGAATCTAACTGTTTTTTTTTATTGCGTAAAGTGAATCAAAGTAGTGTACTAATTATTACCGTAGTTAGTAATAAAAGGTGATTTTTTTTTAGTGTCCTAATCGGTTCACCCTTTGGACTAATTCAAATTCGGGATCAGTTCAAAGTGGTTAGGTTCCAGTCCCCTAGGTGAATTTATTTATAAGAGTGTTATTGATGTAATATGTAACATATACTTGATACAATTCCCGCTTATTGTTTTTCATTACGACAGTTTTTGTGTAGTAAAAAACTATTGATCTTTGATTAGATAAAAAAAGTAAGCATATTATGATTGGGTCAATTGGAAAGTTATTTTAAGTTGTACAATATATTACTTTGCATGCATAAAATCCTAATTGTTCTGATATTTGGAAAAAAAAAAGTTTCATAGTCTTTCACATTTCACATGCACTGTCAATCTGCCAGGTGAACCATTTTAATGCATTGAGTCTAATTTTGCAGCTCCTATATGATAGAGCCATAAAATCCTTGACATGCTCTTCCTGCACTATCTTCATGCTCATTCCTTTACATGATCCCAATAATACCTCAAACCATATCATTTTTACAATAACATCTAGTGTACCCACTAAACAAATAATTTGAAACACCTTCACAATGTCATATAATCTATAGAGGAGACACTTGTAAACTAAATAGACTAGAAGCCTTGTTTTCATTGATAAGAAAAGCACAATTGTTGTGTTCTAAAGATGTTTATATAGCAATCAAATAAAGCAACAATGTCAAAAATGAATATAACTGAAGAAAAAGAGAGAAATACGCATCGAGATTCAAGAGACGCAAGAAGGATCGATCAACATATGCAATCACAAGGAAGATTCCATTCAATAAAAAATGGACCAAAATAACCAAAGCAAAAATTATGAATTAAAACAAAGTCTAAAATTACAAAATGAAATTAAGACGGCAAATTACCTGAAATTGCAAGAGGATTGAAAAGAAAGAAAATGACAAAGTGTAATCAGTCACCGATCGAAAGATAGAACCCCCAAAAACGATATCATGGAAACCCTAGGAGAGAAATTTTATGGATCAAAATTAGAATCAAATAATATATTTAACGTCAAAACTCAAGGAATAAATATTTCTATTATCATTACAAATAGCAGCTTCACAATTATGACAATTTGTGTATAATTTCTCAACAATAGTATCTCTCCTAACTCTAAGCTCATCTCCATAATAAAGATTGGGACTTGTTATTCATCGCCCGCAAATCTCTACATAAAGCCCACATTTTATAATTTTTTGACAAATTTGCCCTTTTTATAATTTTAACCGAAGATAAATTTTTCGCACTAAAAAAATGTGGAGCAGCACCGGATCGCCGAGGATCACCGGAGAATCGCCGTCGTCATCGGAAAACGAGGTTCGTAACGCATCGTAAGGACGAAATGGTGGCTGGCGCCTAGCCAAAAGGCCATGCCGTGGTTGTGGCGCCTAGCCAGGACGCCGCCACCGTGGTAACGGCGCCTGGTGGAGAAGCCTCGACCATGGTAGTGGCGCGTGGCCAGGACGCCGGAGCCACGGCCAGGGCGCCTGGCCAAGACGCCGCCACCATGGCAGCGGCGTCCTGACCAGGCGCCCCGGCCGTGGCTCCGGCGTCCTGACCAGGCGCCCGGGCCGTGGCTCCGGCGTCCTGGCCAGGCGCCACTAGGGGAATATATTTTTTTTTTTTTTATTTTTTAATTTAATCCCCTTTTTTTTTTTTTTGTTTTGTTTTTGTTTTTTTTTTTATTTGTTTGTTTGTTTTTATTTTTGTTTGTTTTTTTTTTTTTTTTTTTTTTTTTTTTTTAATTTAATCCCCTTTTTTTTTTTTGGTTTTTTTGTTTTGTTTTTGTTTTTTTTTATTTGTTTGTTTGTTTTTATTTTTGTTTGTTTGTTTGTTTTGTTTTTGTTTTTTTTTATTTGTTTGTTTGTTTTTTTTTTGTTTGTTTGTTTTGTTTTTGTTTTTTTTTTGATTTGTTTGTTTGTTTTTTTTTGTTTGGTTTTGTTTTGTTTTTGTTTTTTTTTTGATTTGTTTTGTTTTTTTTGTTTATTTGTTTTGATTTGTTTTTGATTTTTTTTTGCTTGTGGTGTTTTATTTTGTTTTGTTTTTTTTTTTTGGAATTTTTTTGTTTTTGTTTGCTTGTGTTGTTTTATTTCCTTTTAATTTTTTTTGGAGGGAATTAATTTTTTTTTTTAATTAAGTTTTTTTAATGCATCTTTTATTTTGTGTTTGTTTTTGTTTTATTTTGTTTTATTTTGTTTT